TGTACAGAAATTTGTTGCATTTCTATGCACTAATAATGAGGTAGCAGAAAGAGAATTTAGCAATTCCACTTACAATGATACCAAAAAGAATAAAATTCCTAGGAATAAACATAACCAAAGAAGTGAAAGACCTGTATTCTGAAAACTATACAGCACTGATGAAAGAGCTTGAAGATGACACAAACAAATGGAAAGATAGTCCATGCTCATGGATTGGAAGAACAGACACTGTTAAAATGTCCACACTACCCCAAAAGCAATCTACAGATTTAATGCAATGCCTATCAAAATGCCAACAGCATTTTTCACAGAAAGAACAAATAATCCTTAAATTTGTGTGGAACCATGAAAGATCCCAAATAGCCAACGTGATCTAGAAAAAGATGAACAAAACTGGAGGAATCACATTCCCAGATTTCCAGATATACTACAAAGCTGTAGTAATCAAAGCAGTATGGTAGTGGCACAAAAACAGACATATAGATCAATGACACAGAATAGGGAGCCCAGAGATAAACACACAATTATATGGTCAATTAATCTTCAGCAAGTAGGCAAGAATATGCAATGGGAAAAAGATAGTCTCTTCAACAAATGGTGTTGGGAAAACTGGAAAGCTACATGCAAAAGAATGAAACAGACCATTTTTTTACACCATATACAAAAATAAACTCAAACAGATAAAGGACTTGAAAGCATAAAAATCCTAAAAGAGAGCACAGGTAGTAATGCCTCTGATATTGGCCATAGTAACATTTTTCTAGATATATCTCCTGAGGCAAGGGAAACAAAAGCTACCAGGACTACATTAAATGAAAAGCTTCTGGGGCGCCTGGGTAGCTCAGTCGGTTAAGCATCCGACTCTTGATTTGGGCTCAGGTCATAGGGTCAGGGTCCTGGGATTGAGCCCTACGCCAAGCTCCCTACTGAACGAGGAGTCCGCTTGTCTTCCTCTCCCTCTGCCCCTCTTCTTGTGCTCTTTTTCAATAAAATAAAAAAAAAAATCTTAAAAAAAAAACACAAAAAGCTTCTGCACAGCAAAGGAAACAATCAGCAAATGAAAAGACAATGTACTGAATGGGAGAAGATATCCCATTATTAGAAGATATCCCAAGGATTAGTATCCAAAATGTAAAGGACTTACACAACAACAAAAAAACAAATAATCCAATTAAAAATGGGCAGAAGACATGAACAGAAATTTCTCCAAAGACATCCAGATGGCCAACAGGCACATCAAAAGATGTTCAACATCACTGATCATCAGGGAAATCCATGTTTATTACAGCATTATTCATAATAGCCAAATTATGGAGGCAGCCCAAGTGTCCCACGATAAATGGCTAAAGATGTTGTGACATATAACACAATGGAATATTACTCAGCCATAAAAAAGAATGAAATCCTGTCACTTGCAACAACATGGATGGAGCTAGAGAGCATTATGTTAAGTAAAATAAGTCAGTCAGTGAAAGACAAATACCATGTGATTGACTCATGTGGAATTTAAGAAACAAAACAAAGAAAAAAAAAGAGAGAGAGAGAAACCAAAAACTATAGAGAAAACCAGATGGTCACAAGAGGGGAGGGGGTAGGGGTAGGGGGGAAAACAGATGAAGGGGATTAAGAGTACACTTATTGTGATGAGCACTGAGTCATGCACAGAATTGTTCAATCACTATATTGTACACCTGAAACTAATATAACATTGCACTTAACTATACTGGAATTAAAATAAAACAGCAACAATGACAACCACAGCAAAATACAAGGCCAGCCAACGAGACACATCTAGGAGTCAAAGTCAGCTCTTGCAGTCCCAGGTCCAGGACCTCCCTGATGGCCACACCCACTTCTATTCATGACTATATTTCTACTCATCTTGAAATCCAGCTTAATTTTTTCAAGTCATAACTAATAACTCCTTTCCCACATGCCCCTATTTTCTCTGGATTGTTTTTTTCCTCTAGTTTGAAATATATTTTGAATGTGACCAAAGTGAGAAAAACCAAATATGAAGCATTCATATTCATTTTCTTAATAATGTTTTAATAACACAAAATTACTTTTCTATTTATCTAAAATTCACCTCTTTAAATAGTCAAAAACCTAAATAAAATAATTTTCTATGAAACTATTTCTAGGGGTGCCCAGGTGACTCAGTTGGTTAAATGTCTGCCTTAGAGGCTCTCAGATCCTGATCTGGGAGTGCTGGGATCAAGCCCCACATTGGCCTCCCTGCTCAATGGGGAGTCTGCTTCTCCCTCTCTTTCTGCCCCTTCCCACCTCACTAAGAGAGAGTGCTCTCTCTCTCTCTTTCATGCATACTTTCTCCCTTTGTAAAATAAATAAATAAAATCTTAAAAAACAAAGAAAGAAAATATTTCTAAAATGTATTAGGGCTTTCTTGTCTTCTTAAAACATAATTTAGTCTTTCCTTGATACTAATGGTCAATGTTCTGGATAGAAGTTGATCTGTAATAGAGGAGATGCTGTCGGAGCTCTTACCATTTTGTATCTTTTATTTACTATTTTAAGTAACATCCTCTATCACCCAAGTTCCCAGAAGTCACCCAAGTTCCCAGGATATGGTTTTGAGGACAGCGCCAAGCTCTCTCCCATCCCTTTCTGGCTTTTGTGAACCTTTTGGATTTTTGTTGTTTATTTTGTTTTTTACTTTATAGTTATCTTAATTTTGTATGAGGAAGAAGAGATTCTAACTTGAATTTTAAAATTCTTTTCTTTTATAGTCTCCAGATCCAACCCACAAAGTCCAAATTATCTCCAATACTTTCCTTTCATATGAGGTAAACTGAAGTCTTCAAGCCTTCTGATTCAGAATCACTGGGAGTTCTTGTGTTAAAAACTATACTCTCCTAGATACAAATTCTGTTAGTTTCAAAATTAGATCTAAAATATGCATTTTAAACAAATATCCTAATTGATTCTTGTGCATATCAAATTTTGAGATCCACAGCTCTCTCTTTTCTTAAAACTGGTTCTAAAATATTGCTGCAAAATACATTAATGTATTTTGGTGCTTAAAAACAGAACGAAACAAAAACATGCCTGAGCCCAAACCCAGGATCAGAATCTGAGCCTCTGAAGGTAGGACCTGTTTATTTTACTTAGCTTTTACCTTTTTTTGTTTTTAGATTTTATTTATTTATTCATGAGAAACACTGAGAGAGGCAGAGACATATGCAGAGGGAGAAATAAGACTCGATCCCAGGACCCCGGGATCACAACCTGAGCCAAAGGCAGATGCTCAACTACTGAGCCACCCAGGTGCCACTCATCTATGCCTTTCTTTGTCTTGGTACCATACACAGGTGGGCTTTTACTTTTTATGTTGTGCTTATTATAGATTTCGTATGCTGTTTGTAGGAAACAACAGAGAGAGACAGCCCATGAACCCTTCATCCAATTTCCCCATGGTACCACCTTGCATAATTAAAGCACCACAGCACAATTGGGAAGTTGACATTACAATCCTACTAAGCTTCTTCAACTAGGTCTCCTTTTAAACTTTTCTTTATTTCTTTCTCTGCTGACGCTTAGCTCTATTGAAGCAGAGTATCTCCTCCTTAATGTGCTAGCTTAAAAAGAAAAAAAAAAACACTTTTTATTTTGAAAAAAAAAAAAAAGGTAAAACCCACAGAAAACATAGCAGAATAGTATTAAGGAAGGGTATAAAAAATACCCAAACACCCTTCACCTACATTCACTGGTTCTTCACCAATTCTGAGAAGACCTGAAAACAAAGACCTTCTCTTACACAAACACAATATAATCATCAAATTCAGGAAATTTAACATCAATACAATATCATAGTGAATATAGTGAATTTTCAAAACCATCCTTTCATTTAGGGCAATTACCCCCCCCCCCCCCATCACCCTGTCCCTTGCATCTCATGCAGCATAACTGTGGTATCTGGTTAGCCTCTTTTATCTGGAATAGTCTTTCTCATGCCATGGATAGTTTTGAAGACTCCAGGCCAGCAGGTAATTCCTCAATCTGGCTTTGTCTGTTTTTTTCCTCATTGGATTTCATTTTTAAAAAAACACCTTTCCATCAATGTTCCCAGCTATGGGTTCATTGAGGAGATACTTGGCAGAGGAGACGTCTTCTCGATCCTAAGCACAGCTGGTAGATGGCTACCTCTCAGCACTTTGCTTCTAGGCAGAACCTCAATCATGCTCATAACAGACAGTGCCCGTACAGAGAACTGGGTGCTCTGGGGAGCAAAAAGCAGCTCAGTGTGATTCTCAGCCCACGATCGTTAATTGCAAGGAACAAGGAGTCATGGGGTACAGATTTCCAGTCTGGGTTCCTCCAAGGCCTGGGTGAGCATCATCCTTTCCCTGCTTCTCAGTTTCCCCAAACTACAAAATGAGAATGCAAATTCTCTCAAGAATGCCTCTCTCAAAGCACCCTAGCATTTGGGTGCCTACATGGCTCAGTTGGTTATGTGTCTGTCTCTGGCTTGGGTCATGATCCAGGGTCCTGGGATTGAATCCCACATTTGGCTCCCTGCTCACTGGGGAGTCTGCTTCTCCCTCTCCCCCTACTCCCTGCTGCTCTCTCTCACACCCTCTCCCTTTCCCAAATAATTAAATAAAATCTTAAAAAAAAAAAAAAAGGAAAGAAAATACCTAGCACTTAACTCACAGTGTTAATGCAAGGATGGATGTTATGCACTCAACATAGTGCATAGCAATTTTTAGGTATTCACTTAATATGAGCTTCTACTATCTTTTTTTTTTTTTTGAGTTTCTACTATCTTAAAAAAATATATCATTAAGTCAAATCCCATGAGTGTTATTTTAAATCTAGTGGGTGGGCCTGAGGTTTTTGTTAAAGCCAAATCCTGCTGTTATCTGCATCATCTTCCCAGGTGTAGATGAAGATGCTCTCTAGGGTCCCATCCTACCACCCAACTGCTTGGCTATGGGACCCTGGCCCTTTGTGGGGTTACAAGGCGAAATCCATCTTACCATTACATCCTGAATAGTTAAGAGGATCCTTTCTTTGTCTGTACTGCTTGCAGGGTCTGAGCATCCGTGTGCATTTAGAAGGGAGAAGTTAAAATCACAGGGTGGTTGGAAGGATGGAAGTCTGTCGGTGGAATACTTGGTGCCCTGGGGACAAGCAGACAGAATGGGTGTGAGAAAAGCAACTTCTGTCCCTGAAGACATGCTGGGGTCCCTCGTTCCCTCTGTTAGTTCCCTCCATGCTTCCTGTCTCTCTCCTCACTGTCACTCTCTGATCTCGCTCCCAAGGCTGATCTTGTCAAACCCATCCCTGCCTCACCCATACCACGGCACGCACATGCTAAGTAAATGGACTGGAACTCAAACTCAGGCCACTAACAACCTTAGCACTGGCTGAGTGAGTACCAAGTGAGTACCTGTGTGGAGATGTGGCCGTCACATCTTGAATAAAAAAGGTGGGATTATCAAAATAGTGTGGATGGTATATAATCACATCTATGTGAAAATAACAAAAAATAAAGGTGAGGCACCAGGGTGGCTCAGTCGGTTAAGTGTCCAAACTTCGGTTTTGGCTCAGGTCATGATCTCAGGGTCATAGGCTCGATCCCTGAGTCAGGCTCCATGCTCAACGAGGTCTGCTTGGGATTCTCTCTCTCCCATTCCCTCTGACCCTCCCCCTGCTCTCTCTCTCTCTCTCTCTCTCTCAGATAGATAGATAGATAGATAGATACATACATACATACATACATACATACATACATAAAATCTTAAAAAAAATAGTGCTCACTCAGAAGTTATTTATATGGTCATCTAAAACAGAAGTACCCAAACAATGGGATGGCCCTAAAAACGATCCTTCATTTTTTAAGCCTCACCATTGGAATGAATGAAGGAGGGCTAAAGGGACGTGCTGCCAGGCTCTGCTGGGGACCAGGAGAGGGGCAGGCTGCTCCACTGGGGGATGGTTGGCCAGCGATGGCACAATAGAATCTTTGCCGTACCCACAGGTGGGGGAGCCATCATGGGCCTCGGCAGAGTCCACATGTGGCAGATATGATGGGGGCACACAGCTCGGGACTGGTGTTTAATTGTGCATATGTGTTAGCAAGTAACAATGACTTTAAAACACTGAACTGCAATTGCAGGCAGATCACCGTTCACCCCACTCCAGGGTCCATACAATAGAGGGAAACTCAGAGAAGATACCTAAATTTGGGTACTTCCACTCACTGGGAATGGGCCAGGACTGGAACATTCCAGATGAACTACCTCTACTTGGATATAATCAACACATGCATATAACGAATACAAGAAATCTTTAGGGGCACGTGGGTGGCTCAGTTGGTTAAGTATCTGCCTATCTGCCTTTGGCTCAGGTCATGATCCAGAGGTCCTGGGAGTCCTCAAGTCAGGCTTCCTGCTCAGTGGGGAGTCTGCTTCTCCCTCTCCCTCTGACCCTCCCCAACTCATGCTCACTCTCTCGCTCTCACTCTCTCTCAAATAAATAAAATATTTTAAAAAAGAGAAATCTGTATTCTGGATGGGTGTACCCATCTCTGATCTCTGGGGCAGTGGGATTATGAAAAGATTTATTTGTATCAGTTGAATTTTTTCATATAGATTGTGCATTATCAGGGGAAAAAAAGATATCTTACTGATAGAAAAAAGTGTGCACTTTGTCTCATTCCTGATACATAAATGGGGCCCTATTATCCACTGCAACACAAAGCCCAACATGACTAGACCCAGCACTTTGGCAGAACTCTCTGGAAAGAGGTGTCCTCCTTTCACAGGAGTTCCAAAGCTGCTCAAAACCCTACGGTGGCTTCCCCTCTGACTCAAAGTAGAATCCTTCATCTTTACTATAGTAAAGGGCCTCAAAGCCCTGGGCCATCTGAGCCTTGGCCTCACCTCTTTTTCCTCGCCCCCTTGCTCACCCAGCTCCCAGACATACTGGAGCCTAGACACACCTGTCCTCCTGCCTTGGGGCCTCCACACCTGCTGCTCCCATGCCTGGCATGCTCTTCTCCACATGGCTCACTCCCTGGCTTTCTCGAGAACTGCTCACATAGCACCTCATCAATGAGAAGGCCCTGCCTTGCATAGAACACGACCCCTGCCCGTCTTTCTCCAGCCCTTTCTCCGATAAACCCTATCACCTGCTGGTATATGATACCTACTGGTATTGTCTGTTTTATCTTCAGTGTATAGAACAGTGCCCAGGATCTGGAATAGAGACCAGGATTCATGCAGTGCACACACCTGTCTACGGGGGCGGCTACTCCTCAGCTCCAGCTGCCACTGTCGTGTAAGGATGGGGCTCCCAAATGTTCGGATTTCTCAAGACAAGCCCCAAATTCACATTTTGACATGGAATCTCCCGATTCTTAAATGTCAACTAGTAATTCTTTTCAAAAGCACCGTGCACATCAATGGGCCGGAGGCCAACCGAGCATGTCTGCGGCATGCCTGTCTGTGAACTCGGAGCCGCCAAGAAATTGAAGATCACTAAGGGTACGATTGAAGGCGGAAAGGCTGGTGTGCTTCAACAGTGAAGGTCAGATGCAAAGTACACAAGCAGGCACACATTTCCTTTTGCTACATTTCAGAGCTACGCTCGCAAACAGTGTGAGGTGGCTGAGTATATTTAGCCACACGCCTTTTTCCCCCCCTCTACCGTTCAGATTGCATCTCTTACGGCTTCTGCCGTGGCCGAAAACCGGCGTCACCATTTTACTCTTTCACTTAGCAGGAAAATAACTCCGAGGGGAAATTGACTGTGAAGCCTTACAGTGTGCCCCCTCAAGATGGGGAGAAAAAAAGGAAAGAAAGAAATACAATCAAGCACTCACGGTGGAGAAAATGAAGCGCTGGCAAGAGCAGGGCGATGCTGATTCAGAGCACGCGTGCACACAAGAATGCTAATGGGAGCTTTAATAGCTCGTGAGGGGCAGGCTGCCTTGTGCTGTAGGGAGCTTGGGAGATTGCAAAGGAAGGAATATATGTTCATTTAACGGGAAGTACCAAGTGGCCAAAGGAGAAGAAGGGAACTACCCCACTTCCCGCGTGCAGGGTGACCACACATTCTCTGACAGGGGGCCTGGCTAGGACTGTAACAGACTCAGCTTGGCTACCGACCAGCCCCCCAGACTAAGAAAGACAATGGCTGTTTGCACAGACATGTGCTCAGATCCTAAGCAAGGGACTGTTCTGTTGATTCAGAAGTGTGTGTTGGGGGGGGAGGGGAGATGGGTGTTGAAGGCAGTAAAGTCCACACCACAATTCTGCCTACTGTAAAATCCCACTTCTAGGGACTAAGTAGGAAACAAGGTCATTGGGTTAGTCCATAAAGAAGGGCTTCTTATTTTTCCCCCCAAGAAGACAGAATTTCCAATATATTGTTGGACTTTTGTAGCCAGGATGTGAAACAAAGTGACCCTTTGCTCCTTACCTGTCCTTTCTTTATGAGCAAAGAAGGACATAGAAACAGGCAACACCACCAGAGGGATGTTTCCTGGACAATATTCTCACTGCTTTTATGAATCATGTGTATTTCTTAAAGGTAGGTTTTTGGTACAGAAGTGACACATGAAAGCAAGATTTTGTTCTTTGAGGGAGGCTGTTGAATCTGCAGCCTGGACCCACAGGTGAACACACACCTGGTGAATAGAGCAGGGGTTGGCTTAGGGGCCTTTGTCCTGCTGCCCTCCGATAATTTTGCTTCTACATAACCATGGAGATGATTTACATGCTCATTCTACGTGTAAAAGCAATGCCTTTGGAATGAGATCCAACCCTCCACGCTCACCCTTGCCAGGTTTCATGGTCTAGTCTGCCCCACTGCCCCTTGTTCCACACTCCCCCATCACTCATGCTGTGCCTGCACTGTCTCCTTAAACAAGCCCAGCCCCATGGCATCTGTGCATGCTGGTCCCTATGCCTGCAATGCCTTTCCCATCAGGTTTCAGCTGAAATGTCACACTTGAAGGAAATCTCCCTGCTCTCTCTGCCATGTCCAATGCTGCCCTCTTGCCCACACTATCCCAGCTCCCCGTTTTCTTCATACAATGTGACAATACCTGAAATTATTGTATTATTATTTCTTGGTTTATTCTTGTCTATTGCGTATCCTTGCACCCCACCCCTCACTTTGCCCTGAACATCATATTATATGCTGTCACCACTTGGGGTTAGACACCAGACTTATTGACACCTGGACCCTGGGTGCCTAGCAGGGCATCTAGCCCATGGTCTGGGTGCTCATTATAGTGAACGCGAATGTCAGAGTGATTGAACCCAGGGGCAGAAGGAAGGAGGGAAGGTTGCAAAGTGCCCACGAGCCGCTGTAGCACAAGCCGAGGCCAGTCCTACCTGTGGTCGGTCCCCAGAAGCACCCTTTGCCTTGATGGTCTCATCTCCTCCTGGCTCAAAATCTTCAGAATAGTCCAGAGGTGGCTCGATGTGAAGCCGTGGGCCAGCTTCCGTTCTGATCTGCACAGATTTCTAGACAGAAAAAGATTGTTTCAGACGTGATGGAACAAACAGCTCGAGCCCTCTGAGGGATGAGCATGGCAGCGGGCTGACCCCGAGGTCATTTGTCCTTGAACAGCAGCAGTCGTGCTATGAGGCACACCAGCCCCGCACCGACTAGTGTGGGCCGGTCGGACGGGTGGCGCCACCTCTGCCCTAAAGTCTTTATGGCTTTCTACTGCACAAAGCGTGTTCAGAATTTTTTAAATCAACTCTTTTTGGTTTGAAATACTGTTATCAGTAGAATCTTTTTTTAAGGATGAATGAATTAATTAATTACTGGATCCCAGGACCCCAGGATCATGACCTGAGCTGAAGGCAGATGCTCCACCACTGAGCCACCCAGGTGCCCCATATCAGTAGAATTTTAGTGGGTGATAAACTTTCTCAAATTGGCTTTGTGATCCAATAAGTTTAGGAGACCCTGGATTTTTTTTCCCTCTGCAGGACTTCTCGGGGCTGGGGCCAGGGTGACAGTAGCGAGGCACCATGGGAGCCACATTGAAAAGAGGGGACTCCCTCTTGAGTGTCCTGCACATGCACGAATCCACAAGTGAGGGCCTCCTTATGCTTTCTGGGCTGGCCTCACTCTCCTGAGGCCTGGCTGCTGGGAGAAAGAAGAGATCTGCCAAGCCAGGTGTACTGAGTTTATTACTCTGCAGAGGGACAGTGATTTAGACCATGCTTTTCCCCTCACACCCTGGGTCAGAAGCCTTCATCCCTGTAAGACTCAGCATCGCCACAAGCTTAGTGGACTTAGCTGTTAGCTTGGTGAGGAAGAACATGATGCTGGAGCCCAACTGCCCTGCAGGAGTCTCACTGGTTAGGACTGAACACCTTCCTCATCCACAGACACACTGCTTGCCCCATCAGCGCTTCCACACCGAGTGCCAGGTCACTTAATGCAGAGGCCTCTGCTCACTTAGTCCTGGTAGCACTCTCAGGGGGAAACTGAGGCACCAGGCTGCAAGCCTCTCACTAAAGGTCACACAGCCAGGAAGCCGCAAAACCCCAGCAGTTTGGCTCCTGGGGCCTTGCTCTAAACCGGGGGTGGGTCAATGTTTGCTGTAAAGAGTAAGTATATTAGGTTTTGCCAGCCATCTGGTCTCTATCACAGTGTTCAACTGTTCTATCATAGCTTGAAGGCAGCCACAGATAATGCCTAAGTAAATGGGCACGGCTGTGTCTCCAGAACACTTAATTTATAAGAACAGGCTGTCGCTGGATTTGGCCCAAGAGCTATAGTTTGCCGATGGACCCCAGTACTAAACCACCATGCTGTACTGCCCCCAATAGGCATGTGAAGAATAAATGTGCCCAGTCTGGGCTACAGTGGCCTTTGCAGAGAAGAGAGAGAAATTAAGATATTTCTTGAGAATATCTAACACTCAAAAAAGTAGGCAGGGGTTTGGCTATAGATCATTCGAAAAAAAGATCTTGGGGTAGGACCTCGGTGGCTCAGTCGGTTAAGTGTCTGCCTTTGGCTCAGGTCATGATCTCAGGGTCCTGGGATCAAGTCCCCGTATCAGGCTCCCTGCTCAGTGGGGAGTATGCTTCTCCCTCTGCCTCTCCCCTTGTGCTCTCTCTCCCAAATACATAAAAAAAAAAATTTTTTTTAAAGTCTTGGAAAGAGTAAATAAGAAGAGAGGCTGAGAAAGGCAGAGAGGAGACAGAGGGGCAGAATGAAAGTGCTCTGGGAGATTTTTCCTTCGCTAGGCCATCCAACTCTCGGCTATGGCCCGCTCTGCTCCAGCTCCAAGTGTGGCCTTGCTGCCTCCCAGGCTGTGTGGACTGGCTCTCAGGGCATTTCTCACGGCAGCAGCAGGGGGTATGGAGGGTAAGTAGTACACCAAATACATAACACCTGGCCAGGAGATCCCTGAGAGCTTTCTTGCCTCAGGCCAGGATGAAGTTGTAAGGGCTTTGAAGTTCATCTCCAAGATGGATTTTCTACCACAATTCTGGGGAGGGCGGGCTCCTCCTTCCTCCTCAGGAACCATTCAATAATGCCCAAATGCTGAAATAGAGACAGAGAAAGAGAAAAGGGAAGAGAGAGAGAAGAGGGAGGGCATGAAGGAGGGAGAGGGTGAGGGGGAAGTGGGGGATGGGGAAGGGGTGCAGAGGGAGGAGCACCAGGCATGGGGCACAGCCTGCCGCCCCCCCCCCCCAGGTTTCTGTTCCTTTCTCTAGAAAGGGAAGGCTTGGACTAGGACCTCACTACTCCCTGTGTGGTTGGTCCGTGCACCAGCAGTACTGGCTTCTCCTGGGGAGTTTGTGAGAAATGCAGAATTTCAAGCCCCATTTTAGAGCTAGGGATGAAAATCTGCATTTTCACAGGAGCCCAGGTGACTTGTATGCACACTGAAGTTCCAGTGGCGTGAGATCTATAAAGTTCTGGGGTAGGTGCTAGTGTTGCCTCTTGTCCCTCATGTGCTCCCTTGTCTTTGGGCAAAAGCACCCTGATTTTCTTTTGGGAAATCCTCTCCCTCCCTGCTCCCAATCCAAGTGTTCACATGGAACTGAGTCTATGGATGGCCGGAGCATAGGACAGGCCCAGCTGATCTGAACATTAGATCCTCCTGGCCCAGAGTGACTAGCTGATTGGTTCAGGGGAGCCAAAGAGATGCAATAGCAGGGTGACAGAATGGAAGATGGGAGCTGATGGTGGCCATCCTGGTACCACAGAGAGCAACATGGGGAAAAGCAGAGTTGAGGGATGGAGAATAAGCCCTGCTACACTGTCTGAGCACCTGGATCCAGCCATGCCTGAACTGGGAATTCCCACTGGGAAAGTGAAAGAGGTGGCATTAATGCAGCTCTGCTGGTCTGGTCTGAATTATAAATATGGGAAAGAGCTCCAGGGTTCAAGGAGGAGAGCCCAGGCAGATCTCTTCTCTACTGCTTTCCCATCCTCCCCTTCCCCAAAAGTGTCCATCTCCCTTCCTAGGAGCCTGGCATGACTGCTTGCCTTGCCAAAAGGCCAGGAGCAGCAGGCATTAAGGCACTTAATAAGCAAGTTCTTACTGAATACTGACTGCATACAAGGTTCTGGAAGCATGTCAAGATAGCGAAAACTGTAACCATCAATGCCCCGGCCTTAGGGAGTTCACACAGCACACACAGCAGAAGAACATGTTTAGGAAGCAACGTTTGACAAAATTAATGTGGTCCAGAAAGAGTTTTAAATGCTGAGTGGGTGCCTGAGAGGGGAATAAATAGTCTTCCATCTGGCCTGCCCTCCCACCTCAGCCCCAGTGAGGTGCCTCTGCCACCACTGGAGGAGATGGGGAGCCGCCTCACCCACACGAGGACGCCCACCTCCCAATAGGAGCACGAGGCTGGCAGGTTCCAACCCAGCCCCCAGGAGGCGCCCGCTCCCTGCCTCCCACCTTCACATGCTTGCAAGGATGATGCCCGAGCTCCTGGCTGGCTCCCCGCTTGGCACGCTGCTTTACCCGGAGTGGGTGTTTGCAAGTGGCTGCTCTCTCCTGCCTACTTGCAGCGCCCAGACCTGGGTGACCCCTGCAGTATCACCCACATACTGGGACAGGATTTAAAAGTCCTGATACCCATACACCCATTTTCCAGTTTGCCAGTCCGAGACCAGCTTTTGTCCTCAGCCACACTCAGCCCAATGCCATGACCAGAGTTACCTGTCTGTATCTCCTGCCCTCCCCCCTTAGCAAAGTGTTCTTAGAGATGTGCACTCAAGCTACTGTCAATTAGAAAGAAAGATCAAGGCTACGGGTTGCCCTGTATGGTTGTTCAGGTTGTACAGTATGTAAGTGGCTCCCTCTACAGGTAGGAGAGCTCGGAAGACGCTGACAGGCAGGTTTGGGGTGGGGAGTAAATCTACCTTACTTGATAGGTTCTTCCTGGATTCGGATTCCTCTGATCTCTTACAAATAACAGCGCTCGACACTCTGATGGTCTGTGTCGTGCAAGGTCTCTGTGAAAGCTGATGCTTTATGGGTTGTTTCATTTATTGTCCTCACTGCAGGGGTTCTCAAAACTCAGAAACAGGAAAACAAAGGAAAGGGCTTTACGTTTTTACTCATGGGCTTTCCTGGAGGGTGATTAAGCAAGCTGCCTTTGCCCACCACAGGAAACCAGATACAGGGATACAGTGGTAGAGTGAGAGCAAAGCCTTTGCTTTAAATTGCAATGAACTTGCTTTCCGGGCCTTTAAGAAAGGCCCACCCCACAGTAAATTGCTGAAAGGCCAATCCCTTCACTACCAATTTAATGCTAAGAGCCGATGACGTTCATCAAATCTGACAGCATTTTGGTAAACGAGGGCTCTGTTGATTAGGCTGCTGTCCACCCAAGTATTACAAGGCTGAGGAAGCCATAAATCTTAATCCACTGATAGCAGGAGAAAGATCCAAGGCTGAGAAGTGGTGGGGGATAAAGGACAGTACCAACCAGAGACCATTTATCACCTCCAGCCCAGTCCACGATGCATGAGGCGGCTTGGAAGACAACAGGGTGCTGCCATTCGCCTCTGTGGCTCTCCCACCGTTGGAGGGTCCTAGGAAGGGTTTTACAGGTGCAGCCGGTCAGGCTCCAGACCAGTGTTTGTATGACTCATGACCTTCTGGAGCTGGGATCCTGGGGCCCATGTGTCTGAGGCAGCCCCTTCTGTCGGGGACATCTCTACCTGAAAGTGCTTCCTACTTGCCAGGCAAGATCCTAAGAAGGGAGGTTATTCTACTGGAAGAGATGAAGGTCTTGGTCCAGGTCTCTGGGAAGGTGACATGTGGTCCACGGGAGTTTAGAGCGACACTCAGAAAAACGTGCAAGGAAGCCAGTTGAAGAGCGCAGGGAGGCCAAAGGGAGGGAGCTGTGCTGGCCGGGGAGAGGCTGGGACTGCAGGGTGTGTCCTTCGACCTCTGTGTCCCCTACCTACCTGGCTGTGGTCAGTGCCAATACACCAAGCGCCTGTGTGGCCCCACCTGTCCTTCCTGCTGGCTACAACCATATAGGAGACACCCCAGGACTGGGACAGGGCTCTGGTACCTCTCCTGGTAGAGTGGCTTTTAAGAACTAGCCACCACTGGCCACTGGGGATCCTGCTGCCTTGACCACTGCTCACCTCTGGCTGCCTCCAAGAGCAATGAATCTCACCCAAAAGGGTGAGATCAAGATTGCCTTCCCCTCTATCCTCTGTACCCCAAAATCTGTCTCCATGTACTTTCTACCAGGGAGAAATTTTCTATGTAACTCTACTTCTTAGGGCAAAAGGAAACCCAACAAGTCCCTCCCTCTTCCTCCTGGCAATAGTGCAGTTGGCACATTGGGCCTATCTACTGTCTTGGATGAGAAGCTAGGGGCCCCAGGCCCTGCTCCAGGAACAGCTCAGAGCAGGCAGGCTTTGTATCATGGGGCCTGGCCCTGCCTCTGATCACATCCTAGCAAGGCAGGAGTGGGCATCTGGTCCAGGCTGACCAACTGAGATTCAGATGGTATCTCTCTGGACAACTTCAACAAACAAATACTGAAAGACCACAGGGATGACATCCTGGGGATGTGTGGAGTCAACAGAGGTGATCGGGGACTCTGGGGGCTAGGGACAGAGATGTGAGGTGGAGGCTGGGGGACAGAGAGACACAGGCTGTGTCATGCTGACAGGATGGGAGCCTTGCTTCAAAGACTCCTGCCTTGTCTTCCTATAGCCACTTGGCCCTTTGGGCATCCTGTGACATGTAGCAGCCGGGGACCTTCCTAAAACATGAGCCCAAACACATAACTCTCCTATTGAAACCCCCTCAGACAATTCATCACAATTAAAATGAAATCCAGGGGCGCGTGGGTGGCTCACTTGGTTATGCATCTGCTTTTGGCTTAGGTCATAATCCTGGGGTCCTGGGATTGAGTCCCACATTGGGCTCCCTGCTCAGTGGGGAGTCTGTTTCTCCCTCTCATTCTCTGCCTGCCACTCCCCCTTGCCTGCTTTCTCTCTCTCTCTAAAATAAAGAAAATCTAAAAAAAAAAAAGTGAAATCCAAACTTCTTCCTGGGATCTTCCAGGCACTGGAGACCCCCGCCAGAACTTCCTGGAGCTGGCTCTGCTCGCCCTCAGCAGTCAGGTCAGACGTGGCCCCCGGGGAAGCCTTTGTTGCCCACTCTCTCTAGATCAGCTCTTCCCCAGATTCTGGTCCATCTCATCCCACACTCTTTTCTCCCATGTAGCACTTGTTTCTTTGCTCGCTTGCTTCTGGCCCTCTGCCTCCCCACCCACCCCCGGTAGACTTGAGCTCCAGGAGAGCAGGGCCCACCCTGTTTCACTCAGGGTGCTGACCCCAAAACCTACAAGCAACCACGTTTGCACTGCTGCTCAGCAGAGGGCACAGAATGAACAACAGACTGAGCAAGTGAAGAAACATCCCGGAGCGAAGGGCCCTGAGGCCTCCAGGCAGAGCCACCATCAGCATCCACCCCCCACCAACTACAGCAATGGTCAGGACTGCTGACTGTTTCCTCTGTGCCGAGCACGGCTTGACATGCTCCACAGACCCTGGCTCGTTCAGTTCTCGTTAACCACCCTACCAGGCAGTTGCCATTACCAACTCTACCTGCAGGTGAAGAGACAGGCACCAGAAGTTGAGCAGCTCATCCATGGCCACACTCCTGGGAAGGGGTGAAGCCAAGACTTTGATCGACAGCCGCTGGGTTTCTGAGTCTGTGCCCTCACTCACCTCTCTGGACTTGTCTGTGCCCCTGCCACCGGGTACTCCTACTTGAAGCAGCAGACGGCCCCCGCTGACAGACCCCTGTGACACACACTGAGCACGCATGGCCTCCTGGCAGCCCCAGGAGGTTTACTGATGATGAACGCAAAGCTCAGAGGCTCAGAGAGGTCACACCACCAGCTCCAGGGCACACAGCCAGCAGGCAGTTTGACTCCAAAGCCCGTTTCTGTCTCTCCAGGAGCCACGGGTTCTGATAACAGATGGCAGCTGCCACTCGGGCTCAGCTCTGAGGCTTTAAAGGGGGTGGTACAGACTGCATCAAATAGGACCATTTATACCCAGTGCACCGGCTACGTTGCTCTGCTAACGGCTGCCTAGCAGGGAGCGGAAGCCCAGCGCGAGGGCCAGATCTTTCCCTTTTTCCAGCGAAGGAGGAATCTAGCTTTTTAAAAATATATAAAAACTTTTGAATTTAAATGTTAGCAAGTGACTAAGTCTTTTTAAAACTGTGTGAGTCCAAAAAACATTCTCTGGGGGACAAGTTCAGCCCACAGGCCGCAAGCTGCTCACTCTCAAGTCCGGCAGGCCAGTCCTCTGTACGCTTCAGACCTGGTTGTTATGTCTTCTGTGCAGGCTGGCCAGTCCCCATGTCTTCAGAGCTGGGGCACCAAGGGCAAGAACTGAGGCTTATCTGATTGTTTCTACCTCCAAAGCCCCACACAGTGCCCAGCCTGGGGTAATAAATGCTTGCTACATCAAAATTAAAAGATGATTTCTTTTGGGATGTGGCTTCTAGTCCTTGCACCACTTCTGAATGCTCCTGGATTTATCCATATCAAGGGGGAGTGGTCCCCAAAGCATGCCATGTGGCTGGAGCAGAGTCCATGCAGTAGTGGGAGAGGGGAGGGCTGACCCCCCAGGACCCCTTCCACTTTCCTCCTAGGGTGCCATTGCATTCAGTAGAGGCCGGAAAGCCAGTCTGTGTTTCCCAGATGCTTTTTCACTAGGGATTCTGGATTCTGCAGCCGATCAGATGGCCTCATACAAGGGAGGGAAAGTAGAAGTGAAATGGAAAGAAGGGGACACACACTGGCTGATGAGCACGGTGATGGAGGCGACGGGTTTTTCAAGTGTCCCTCCTCGGGCCAGATAGGTATGGGCCATGTTGCTGTAGCAGGCATCATCTGGGGCCAGTGGTTGTGGCGGTGGCCACCTGGCTCCTGGATGACAGCTAAGGTGATACATCCCTGAGGCTGATCTTCCACCTTTCCCACTGTGTCCTAGGCAGCAGCTTTCCTGGCAGGCTGTGCTAGAAGGCTGGGTACCATTCCTGGGGGACCCCGCTCGCTCCTCCTCTTGCCACCCAGAGACCTTACAAGCACCTGATTCCCTGCATTACGTTCATCTCTGATTAAAACAGCTTAAGTGGTCTCTACGATTAGGCACTGACTGACCCCTGACTGATACGGTGCAGAAGGACAATTAGAGCCTTTGTGGCATCAGGAAGCCAAGAAATCAGCCATGATTAGGGCCTGTGAAGTGTGGGACCACAGGGAGAGGCTGGGGAGGGATGCTAATTAATCTCAGCCCAAGTCTTTTAAATTGCACAGGCTCTGGGGCCAGCCATTAAGTCACAGTCTAAGATGCAAATACGGCTCCTGATAATTGAAGGCACTCAAAACCACAAGAAGGAGGCTCTCAAGTGGGATGTGGAGAAAGGCCTCCTCAATGAAAAATTAACATTCATTGCTGGGGACAAGAGGAGACCTCTAGGCTGTGTGCCCTGGAGACCTTGCTCATCCGCACTGAGATAAGGCTATGGGAGTCAGTTGGCCAGGAACACCCTTCAGGGCTTAATCACAGATCCACAAACACAGGGAAGACCAATAGGTTTGTGTGTGGAGGTCATGGGTCTAGGGTTCAAACCTCCCTTAGGAGAAGAAATGTGTGGGAGATATCAGAAAGGGACACAGAACATAAAGACTTCTAACTCTGGGAAATGAACTAGGGGTGGTGGAAGGGGAGGAGGGCGGGGGGTGGGGGTGAATGGGTGATGGGCACGGAGGGGGACACTTGACGGGATGAGCACTGGGTGTTATTCTGTATGTTGGTAAATTGAACACCAATAAAAATTAATTTATAGAAAAAAAAATCTTAAAAAAATAAAATAAATTCTTAAAAAAAAAAAAAAAAAAAAAAAAAAAAAAAAAAAAAACCTCCCTTAGTCACCATGTGATCCTGAGCAGCTCACCTCTTCTCACTGGGCCTCAGTTTTATCAGTGGCACAATGAGGACAGTTAGCAGACCTATGGGGTTATTGCAGAGATAGGCCAATAAAGCTTATGGAAGTGTTTCCTACAGACCCACATGTACAGCACAGTGTACCTCCCAATATGGGTGACTACAGGATTAAAGAGGATTAGACACCATTGCTTAAGCCTCACCTCAGACCCCATGGGTCAGAATCTCTACGGGTGGGGCTGCCCAGGTGATGTGAATGTGCTGTGGGGGCTGAGACCCACTGACCCTGGCCCAGCAAAGTGTGAGTAACCACCAGGTGAGGACAACGCAGGCAGGAACACAGCACTCAGAGCAAAGCTCTGGGTTTGAGTTCTGAGGCTGTCACTTATTAGTGATTGGCCTTGGAAAGCTCACTTCGCTTTTCTGATCATTCACCTCCTTGGCTTCCTTAAAAGAGGAAGAACATTGGAACTTGCCTTATAGGTCTGCTGTAAGGACAAAGGGGAGGAGTCATGTGGGAGCTTAGCCCACACCTCATACCTGGTTGGTGCTCAAAAATGCAAGCTGCTGGCATCAGCAGCACCCTGACGTGGCATCTTAGGTCTGTGGGGAAGGGAGCTTTGTCTTCTTCACCCACTGCATCCCTGGCATCGAAGAATGTGCCAGGCACATAGTGGGTGCTCAAAAAAAGACAGCTGTATAAATGAGTCACCATGATAGGATTGTGAGTCCATCTTGGGGTGACCCCATCCCCTATCTGGAAGGGAGGATCATGCCACTAAGAGGGGGCAGGAGGGTCCCTAGGCTCCCCCCACTCTCAAGGGCCAGCACTACACGAAGAGAGGACATCAGTAGGGTGCCCAGACAGACCATGAGAATTCTCAGTGCTTGGATTATATTTCTATTCCCACAAGACCCTGCTCCTTATTCTAAAGCTATATGTCTTGACTCTGCCCAAGGTTTCCAGACCTGGTGCCATCCTCGGCGCTGGACTTTGCTGGGGGCTGTCCGAGAATTGCGTCTTAAAGCTTCCTCTGCTTCTCGGAACAGGGTTCTTCGTCCACCATCTGTACCAGGGATGAAGGAAAGAGTCTCAGTGAGGCACCAATGACAAGTTCACACCCAAGGAGGATTCATGACTTCCACTGAAAATGCACACTAGTGTGCCCAAAGTCATATACAAAGTGAGTTACTATAGTGCTGCTGGTAGCAGCAGGGCATTAGAAAACAGCCAAATGCCCAGGAGAAAGGGAATGGGAAGTAAGTCACAGCTGAATCGGGCAGGTCTATATACAAAAGGAACAATCTCCGAGATATGGAAGCAGGGTACATGCGGTATGTACTACAGGCCAGCATTTGTATAAAAGAGGAGAGAAGGGAGAGAGATTTGTTGAATGAGTGAAGGTATTGCTGGTGACCCAAGTACAAAGACTCTTATTACCTGCACCTCCTTGAAACCTGGACCAAGAAAGGCCTGCTTCTCCCAACTAGTAGCAGGTTTTGGCCTGATTCCTCCTCCCCAAAAGCTAGGAGAATCATTCCATTTCCCTTGTTGTCCTGGGGGCTAGGAAGCTCATGCTAAACTCTAAGCTGAGTGGCTGTGGGTCTCCTGGAGGAAGGTTTGGGGACTTTGCTTTCTCCTTTTAGCTTTTTGTTGTTTTGACTTTTAGTGGCTACTAATGGCTTGGGATGGTTACCATACCTGAGAGTAAGGCAATGAATCAGAACAACACGAATCAAGATTATTGTGCAACGGGCATTTAACATTTCATATATTATTTAATCTTCCTGGCAAGCCTACAAGGTGGGACTAACTATTCCCACTTCATAGAAGAGGAAACTGAGGGTCAGAGAGGGCCCGACTGCCAGAGGTCTCAAAGCTAAACAGTGGCAGAACAGAGTTCAAACCCAGCTCTGCCTCATTCCAAATGTTCTTCCTGTAATTTGGTAGCACACCAGCTTCTCAGACAAAGTGGCCTGCCTTCAAGGGTGCCCTACGGATGGGTGCCCTTGTCAGTTCCATTTAACAGATGAGGAAGCAAAGGCCCAGAGTAACATGGCCAAATGTGCTCTGTCACTTCATTCACTTTACCACCAGGTTATTTCTGGTGCCTGTACTGGGCTAGCCGCTGGCTACTAATGGCTTGGGATGGTTCTGCTCCTGTTCCACTTCACAGACTCTCTGAGCTTTTAGTGCAGGACACATGGGATTGGTTTAAAGTCTGTGGAGTATGGATTAACTAAATTCAGAAATGAACAGTGGAATCAAATATCACACAGGGTTAGGTACTGAAGTGAAGACACAGCCAGTGAAAATCGAGTATAATTTAAATTATTCTAGACATTTCCTTCAATTACTGGCACTACGAAATGTAAAAGCCGGGAATTTAGTGCTCTGACCACCTCTGCCCTTGGGTAATGGAGGCCAGGGCTAAGTTTTAAAAGGTATAAAAAGGGATTTCTCTCTCTCACGCACACACTCCTGCTCTTTTCTCTCTCTCTCTCTCTCTCTCTCTCTCTCTCTCTCTTTTTTCAAGAGAGAGAGAAAGTGCACACACGTGCAAGCATGAGGAGAGGCAGAGGGAGAATCTTAAGCAGGCTCCATGCTCAGCGCAGGTCTGACACCGGGGCTTGATTTCACAACCCTGAGATCATGACCTGAGCTGAAATCAAGCGTCAGACACTTAACCAACTGGGCCACCCAGGTGCCCCAAGCTCTCTTTCTGCCAAAGTGGGTATAGTTAACTAGCTACTTGCTGGTAAGTTTATGTGCATGGGATAGGACTCCACTGTCCCAAATTTGTCAGTGTGTGGCTGGGCCCAGGGGGTCCTGTACTCACCATGTGTTCCCTCGGCATGTGAGGCACTTCTGGTGAAGTCAGAGTGGACAGCTTTCCGGGGTGATGTCTTCAGCTCAGAATTGGCCCCATTGACGTAGACAGAGAAGCCCTGCTCCAAGTGCTCCAATCTCAATTGCATGGGGTCCTTGGTTTTCAAATGTTTTAATATCCTGGAAGAGAAATGATTCCTTGCTCCTTGTTATGTGAGCCTGGGCTGCCGCCCACCCCCATGCAGTGAGAGAACCGCTGCTCTGATGGGCAAAACGTCTCTAATCGGAGGCCGGGTGGCGGGTGCCCAGCTGTTCATCTACAAACAGCCTGTAAGAGGCCCATTACACACACGGAAAAGCAGCAAGGGGGAGATGGTTTCAGGCCCTGCAGGGGTGTTTCTGCTTTCGTGCTGAGGTTCAAATGCACGTTAGCGACAACTCAGGCACACACCGACCTCACCCCGCGGTGGCTGAGACATGTGTTAGCATTGCCACCACACAGCCTGGGTTTCCTGGGATGACCCCAGTTTCATGCATCTCCACCTTGTGTGGATAGTGTTAACTTCTCCAGAGTATAACAAAACATGGGTTTAAGGATCTTAGGTTCTAAGCCTTTGCAAGAGGTTTCATAGAACATCTACAAATCAGAAAACATCCTCCATCACACCAGCAGACTGACTTTTTCCTTCAGTAATAAATGTGTTCTCCAAAGCTCACCCCTGATATCTCAAATGTCATCATTTTATATTCTAATGCAGTGAAAGAATATATCAAAGCAGGCATTCGTTCAAGATTCATGATATGATTATCACCTTTTGGCTAAAAGGGTTTTGGTGTGAACATGGGTGGACCCCTAGTTCAACTCTTCTCAAAAACCCAACCTCACTCCTCAGGCTCCATCCTTGGCCAACTCCTGATATGGCCAGTACCATAATCAGTGGGCAGCATCCTCACCAGCCCCTCCGGAACCACTTCCATCTGTCGTCAAATCCTTCATTGTCTTTACAAACACCTCCATGCACCCCCACATCAATGAGATTTATTTCCACACAAGAAAAAATACAGACAACCAGCCCGCGTGGCAACCAGCATGCATCTTCTTTGTGATTAAACACATTACTACCAAACTGGCAAAATGCAAATTTTTAAAAATAATCAGTAATCACATAAAGGGTGTCTAGTAAGTGCCAAACTCTGTTCTACCTGCTGTACTGATACGGTAGTTGGTTCTTGTTATTCGTGGTAGTTTTATTCTATGAAATCACCACAAATGCTGAGTTAGTGAATACCGAAACTTTGTCCCTAGGGGAAAATACAGGATTTGGTTCCTGTGAGCCTCTGCCGCAACACTTCATCAACTGATCAATACGTAACCTTGCTGTGTGTTTCTGTTTAAAGGCACTTTATTTGATACATAGTTGATACACCTCACAGGCCAGCAGTGCTCTAACCCAGGCCTGAGGGAAGCCCACCCAACACATTTGGGTATTTTCTGTATTTTCTGCGTAGAGACAATATAGTCTTCTTGCACTTAGAAACACCACACGGTACTTCCGCACTATGCCTGGGGGCCAGTTTAAAAGCAAAATCACCACTAAAAAGCATAAAAATGTGGAAAACATGGCACTAAGTATATTTCAAAAGGACACTTGCTTATGGAATAAGGGCTGAAATAAGAAGAGGGAGTGTTCCCTTGCTCTACACCAAAGGCGGGAATGTGCACGTTGGGCAACCAAAAATTTTTGCCATCCTGCACATGTCTTTGAATGCCCACAAAAGCACTGCAAATACCGACGAATAAATTTTAGTGAGTAGGTGAATTCATATTTAGGGAACCTATGAATTATAGGGATTGACTATATTTAGACATTAATCTTCCCCAACAATCCTATGGGGTGATTACTTTTATCATCCCCATGCAATAGATAAGGAGAACGAGACACAGAGAGGATAAGTAACTTGCCCAAGGTCACACAGCTGGTATGGTGGTAGGGCAATCTGGCTCCAGTCTTCACCACAACAAAGACAACCTCTAAAGTTAGTGAGATGACATTGAAACTGGCAGACTTAGACATTGCTGGTAACTCACAGGACCTTCTCAGAAGTAATATGAAAATAGGGAAAATGCCATATGCTTGGTCTTCCCCTGGTAAATCCATTCCAGCAAATCACTTTTGACTGGGAACGATGGTCAGTGTGTGGTCGTAACAAAACCCTGAAGGCAACCCAAATGTCCAACACGGGGAAATGGAACCTGGGATCCCACACAGCTGAGATCACTACGAAGAATCTGTCCAAACGTGAGGAATGGCTTGTGATTGGTGGGGGGCGAAACAGAATAAAAACAGTGCATGTGTGTTTATGTACAAAATTGGAAAAAAGTGTGTTTGTGGAACAGGAACAGAAGGTGATAAATGTGAAAATCCAATCAGTTGTTGAGGTAAGGTGGTGGCATTATGGGTGATTTCTTTGTTTGTTTTTTAAATGTTTCTTTGGCTGTTGATACATCCATCTTTTCAACAATCCTGGCAGGAACATTTATTACAGACTTCTTATCTCCTGCTGGCCTTGGAAGCCTGGGAGTTGATTGTTGGGCGGGCAACAGCATAAAACAGAAGGAAAACACAAGTAACTAAGAGGTGCTTTCCAAACACAGCGTTAGTTGCCCTCTCTGGAGCAAACAATCGGAGGCTGCAGCGGGCAGCAGCAGGCCCTGGGGAGAGAGAGCGGGGAGCCCGAGCCCCGGGAGGAGCACAGAGAATGGAAAGTCTGACCACCCAGCCACAGGGCGCCTGCCTCCATCTCCCTCCCGAGACCGCCCTGTCTCCTGATGCTGCCTTGGTGGTTACGGTGACATCCCGCTACTGGCGTTCTGGGGCTGGCACTCCGTCGTGTGTGCTTCTCTTTAAGCAGAATGATTTATGAAAATGTGGATTTATGAAACTGATAAATGAGGAGATAATTATCCAGACTGTGAAAGGGATCGCTAAAGGAACTCCCCGACTGCAGCTGAGCTGTCAGTGATACGCATGTGGCATCAAAGAGAAGTGGTGTCTTTTTTTTTTTTTAATTGATAGCCTGCTTTGCATAAAAAGCAGCCCTCGGTATATGGGATTCAGAAAAATCAGACACGGTCCCCGCCCTGTCGAAGATGGAGCCCCTGCCCACCTAGTGCCCTTAACACACACACTCTACTTTGTTACGGGTCTTGCTGGCTTCAGAGCTTGTGGCTCACTGCCTCATCCTAGGGGAGACTACCTGTGTGTCTGTTTATTCTCCCTTCCTACCATGGGAATCTGACCCCTGCATATGGTTGGGGTCAGTGCTGAGGGTGAGGAACACTCTTGTGCCTCAACTCTGGAACAAGTGGTTCTTTTTTTTTTTAATTAAAAAAAAGATTTTATTTATTTATTCATGAGAGACACAGAGAGAGAGAGAGAGAGAGAGAGGTAGAGACGCAGGCAGAGGGAGAAGCAGGCTCCATGCAGGGAGCCTGATGTGGGACTCGATCCTGGGACTCCAGGATCATGCCCTGGGCCGAAGGCGGCACTAAACTGCTGAGCCACCCAGGTTGCCCAGAACAAGTGGTTCTAAGGCCCTCAGGGTCTAGCAGGGTATAGAAGACATGGATATGCATTCTAACAGAGCTACTATGGTCCCCATGCTCATCATTGGAGCTCTTTCTGTCTTATCCTATAAGTGACCTATGAGGCCACTTGTACAGAGAGAAAGTGGGGGTGTGACAAGGGACATGATTGGGTGGTCAGGGCACGAGCAGGGGCACAGCTGGCAAGAGGACATGGCCAAGGTCGAGGGATAGGTGGTGCATCGCTCCTGGGTGTGGTCGTGCCTGTGTGGATGGTGGGATCACCTCAGCCTCAGAGCACTGTGGCTGGTGGGTGACCAGGCTAGCCACATGGCCGCTAGGACCTCAGTCACCCCAGAGGGCAACCAAGGGCTTCTCCAGGGGTCAAGCATTCAAGAAATACCCGGATTTCAGCTCAGGGTATTAACTGACATTAACATTAATATAATGATGATGATGATGGTGGTGGTGGTGGTAATGATGACACCTGAGTGTTTGTCTCTCTTACTCCTTCACTGGCCCTGTGATTTAGGTCTTACCATTGGCCTGTTTTTTTTTTTTTGTTTGTTTGTTTGTTTGTTTTTTTTGTTTTTTTTTTTTTCCATTGGTCTGTTTTATAGATGAACTTGACCAAGATCACAGAGCCCAGGAAGCTGCCAGGATTTCAATTCTGGTCCGCAAGGCTCCAGAGCCCATCTCCCAGACACACCATTGTGCTGTTTCTAGTCTCCTCACCACTTATCACACCACCAGGGCTGAGCAAGGAGAGTCCAGATGGGGAGCAGTGGCTCCCAGCTGGGGGCTTCCTGGAGGTGGTGGCATTTGAGACCAGCCCTGAAAGATGGTAAGGCAGAGGGCGGTGGTGCAAAGAGACTGCTGTTCCTCCCAGAACATTGGTGCTCACAGGCTCTAGTACTGGCCTGTTAGGATGTCAGCATCCCCCATCCGTGTGGGTGTAGGTGGTGCAGTGTGGAGGATGAAGCTCCACAGAGAAGGTTTTACCATTTCCTCAGTGTCTGTGTAACCTTTGGCAAGTCCCGACACCTCCTGGGCCTGTTCCTCTTCTGTAAAATGAGATTAAGAGTGCCTACCCCTCTTCGGGCTGACATGAGGATGGAGTGGGATACCAGGCTGCAGCTCCAGCTCAGAGACTGGCCCATGCCAACAGCCCCTCACCCCCCACCCCGGATGCTGGTTCTCCCGTTCCTTCTCTGCCTGAATCTCCTTTTGGGGCAGTGGGTTTACATCTTTCATGGGCATGTTTTCCTATACATTTCCCTCAAACCACCTTTTCCAGAGAAGAAATAACACCACTGCTGGACTCCTGGATCTGGTCCAGCCCCCACCATCTAGAGGGATGTTTTACAGTCCTTCCCTGCCATCAGCCCTCCAGCACTCGGCCCAACCTGGTAGCTCTGTCGTGAGTGAGCCGGTCGGGTGTGATTACATCTATCATGAAGGTGAGTGACCAGAATCACTAAGGATCCTCTGGGAGGGTTCAGGCAGGAGTGACCTGGGACTGTCACATCCTCCTCTACCTCCCTTGGTCCTCTCCTGGAGCACATGATCACATTCTGCTTCTTTGGGAGTGGTTATAAATGGGTGGCCTTGTGCTCACCTGCCACTGCCAGGGCAGTTCCTCAAGGGCAAGGGCTGTGGGGCAGAAATCTGTTCAGTCTGCCTCGCCAGCAACTCTTCCCTATCCTCCAAACCAGCTCCTCGGATTCCTTTTGGGAACCGCTCTGTTCTTTCCCTTACTCTGTGTGGTCTGGGTGACACTCACTCCACTACCCAGGTGAAGGAGGTAGCCAAGGAGTGGCCAGTCAGGCCATGCCAGTTCGCCAGGCACCAGGGGCAACTGGCTCGGGGCTGAGGCTGGGGCCCTCCTCAGGAATTCAGCCCAACTATCAAGAAGTCCTCTCTTCTCCTTGAGGCAGGATGCAAGGGTGAGGCCACCGGTGGCTGCCTTGGCTCCCGTGAAGGAGGTGCCAGCCTGAGATGAGTAGAGTCAGAGCCAAGTACCTGGATACAACTATACCTGAAGCCAGAACATTATCCCAGATTTCTTAATTTCATGAGCCAGTAAGTTTCCTTTTTTATTTAAGGTCCATTTACCTTGAGTTTCTGTCCTTCCTGTCTCCCAACCACCTGAGTACTAACTAATAAAGTTGATGCCTTCCTCATCACAATGCTCTCCTTCATGTTGTTGGTAGTGCTAAGCACCGAGAAGGCACTCAGTGAAATCCTGAATGAAGAAAAGAATACCACCTACAGCATTTGTGGCAGCTATGTTCTGGGCAGGACACTCCCGGGAACTGGCTCCAGTTTTTGCACACCCTCCTGTCTCAGGTCACAGGGCAACCCAGATAAGCAGGCTGGGTTTTCATTTCCCTCTGTGTACACCATAAAGCCCAGAGGCTGGCTTTCTACCAGGTCATATAACTAGATTTCCAAGTACACTGCGGTTTACTCCCACAAAACCCTTCATTGCGAAACTGGCAACTCTGGCAGATTTCTCCCCTCTTGATTATTTATGACAATATTAAACAAAACATAAATCAGAAAGTCCAGCCCAGCTCTACCACTTCCTGGCTGGATGACTTTGGACAAACGGCTCACTGCTCTGGGTCTTTTTTGTCTGGAAAATGGGTGCAGTGAGTATAGCTACATCACATCAGGTAGGGGGAGGATAAACTGAAAGGATGGGGCTCAAGTGCCTGCATGCAGGAGGCACTCCAGAAGAGGTGCCTCCAAAGCAACAACTGGTGGTAGCTCATGGGGCCACCCACTTTTCATGTCTCCATTTGGAAGTGTTTCTAGCTCTACCTTCTGAGCTCCTGTCATCACGCCAGCTCCCTCTGGGTGACAACGTATCCCCCAAATTTTATGGCAACTCAGCTTTGACATATTTTTTAATTGCCTTTGTGCTGCAACCTTGTCTCTGGATATTCTCCTCTATGCTACCGGCTGGTAGCCCTTTGATGGTGCACTTATTGATCCGCTGATTAATGAGAAGCAATTTGCTCCTAAGGAACTATGACAATGTCCTCCCAGACAAGTCACACGTACATGATTAAACGACCACTCAGGTGTTCGGTGGCACCATCCAGCCTGCCAGGAATGGAATAAAAACACCCCGCTCCACGGCATTAATGATGATAAAAACCCATGCTGGGCTAATCAGCACAAGCCTCCCACTACCGTAGGTGGAGCTGCCCCTGGGCTGGGGAGATGAGCACAGAGTGGCCTGGCACAGAGGAAGGACACTGTCTGGTATGTCTAGCTGCTCCTGGAAAGTTTACCTGTTCAGTAATTCACCACCAGGGGCCGCATGGCCAGAACAGGGGCATCTAGCCACTGTGGGCCGGTGTTGTTAGAGATAGATCCCAGGCGCCTTAGTGGAATTTAGTAAAAGGGTCAGTGCACGGGAATGCTAACTCCTATATAAACCCGTCTGTGTAACATGCCAGCAGGGTCCCACCTGACAAGAATTGGGTGTCCGGACAGTCAGATGAGGGCTGAATGCACAACAAGCAGGATGACAACTCCCAGGCTCTCTTGCCTGTAAGACCCCGAACTCATTCCTATAACACAAAGGCCCAGATTAGGGCCCTCCCCTCCCCACTCCCACAGGCCTGTTTTAGGGGCCTGCAGCATCCTGCGCGTTGTTTTGAGTTTTAATCTGAGTGCATTACCAACATTTTAAAATTCAGGAGATTTCACAACCCAAATCCAGATTTCCAGCTTCTCCAGCAGCCTTGGAAGATATGGACCCCTGGGCCCAGGCTCCTACAAACAACAACTGGCCTGAGCTGAGCAGCTGGGAAGTGAGAATCCCAGGTGCCCACCGACTCCACTGTGCTGTGCTGGCTTCCTTCACTCACTGCCCGGCCCCTCCTAGCATCTGAGTTGCCAACCCAGCTTAACCTGAAACCTAAGGCCTGATAACAAACCACAGTGAACTGACTGTGAACCTCCACAGGCCCCATGAAGGCAGTGAAGAGGTGATGCCTCTTTCCAACCAGACCACACTGCTTTGCCCTCGATCACTAAACATTGCATCTACCATAGTTCCCCCCCCCCCCACTCCGGAGCTAGCACACCAGAGTCAAAAATAAGTACCAACTAAACTTTAAATGACATATTGACCAGCTTTAAACACAGATGTGAAACGACTCCACCTTGATCTAATGAGGCATGATTATAGGCTCAGATTTCAAGGGCCCGTCAAAGCTTGGGAGATGGCAAACTGGGCTATTCAGGTGACTAATGCACAGGCCCTGTCAGGTTCAAGCTTTTCCATGACAAAGACACCGTCTCCCAGAACAGCAGCAGGAAAGCAAGAGGTGGTACTTATATGTGGAACAGTTTGCTACTGCTCAATCAAAGATGCAATTAAATCAGTGAGGGGAGAAACAGGAGCTGGGATTGTAGATAATATTCCAAGCCTCTGAGTAGAGGCTGACTGCGCCCCATTCCTATGTGACACAGAGCCTGCCTGCTGTCTAATAAATCGAAATCGGGTTTTTATTTGGCTAATATTAAGGGCTGCCATTGAGCAGGTTCATCTTACCGGTTCCTCTGCTGAAGCAATATTAAATACTCATCATGTTTCTCATCGAAGTCTGGCACCATGTCCTTAGTGTAAGCCTGAAATGAAGAAATCGAGCAGTGTGATATCGGAATGTGGGGAATTATTTACTGAGGCAGGAGGCTGAGAGGCCAGAGACTGAGCTTGCCGAAGGCCCGGCTCCCTGGGCACATCACTCAGGCGACCCAGAGCCCCAGAGATGGTCTGAGGGTCCCATGGGTCTTGAACATACATAACCAACAGTCTATAGAAAGGAGGAGGTCGGTTCTCTGGTCTTGACACTGTTTGTTCCACCCGTGCTCTGTAAGAGCAGGGGCTTGGGCTAAATTTTAGCTTTTATGTTTTCTCCACATTCATTATTTAGCTACCTGAATTATCATAACCAGATGTGACCCAAATCAGTTGCTTAAGAAGGGATCTCATTCTTCTCTTGCCATGGCAAGAGGAATGCATGCTTATTAGAACTCAGTCATTATAAAAACATGATCCAGACAGTGAGGGCGCCTTTAAGAGCAGACACTTGGGGGCTTAGACCTCCTCTTTTGGCAACAGAACTCTGGGTTTCCTTTAAAGAACCACTCATCACCTTCCTTCAGTTCACTGACTTTGTGAGAGGCCCTAGAAACTTCCTTTGTTGGCCTCTTGGGTCACATGACCTTGGCCTTAGCCTTGACAATCCACACAGTGCTGCCTGCAACCACAGTGATTCACTAGTCTGTGCGTGAGCCATGGCCTGAGCCAGACCCTTGAAAGTCAGCCCTGAGTCTTTGCTGATCCTTTTGGGGGAAGAGCTGCTATCTTTCCATTGGGGAGCGGCTAGGCTGATGAGACACAGGCCTGGAACTATCTGAGAATGAGGTCAATAACAGAGAGAGCAGGTGCATCGAGAGATGGAGACAGATCCTTAAAGTCGTCACTTGACACCTTGGATCCACTCATGTCTGAAGAAGTATCTGGACAATTTAGTTCTTGCTTTAGAAGTTTCTGCTGAGTCTCTATCACTTGTAGCCAAAAGAATTATGTCATATGTACCATAAACTGACCATTAGAGATAACCCCTATTCTAATTTTCTATAGCTTTATGGAGGGATAATTAATGCAGAATAAACTATACGTGTTTAAAGTGACATATGTATATGCCAGTAAAACCTCCATTATAACTTGATATATATTCCCCTAGATGTTTTTATCATATACATATACATACATATTTTTACATACATATTTATAAACATATACACAAACCCAGACATTCTTTTTTTTTTTCTTTTGAGGGGGGCTCAATCTCATGACCCTGAGATCATGACCTGAGCCAAAATCAAGAGTTAGACGCTTAACCAGCTGAGCCACCCAGGCGCCCCCACAGACATTCTTTTAAACAAAAATAGGATCATACTATAAACAATGCTCTTTAATTTTCTCTTTCTTAAATAACTTTTTTTTTTTTTTTTTTGCCAAGGGATGGATTAAAGAGACAATATAGGCTTGGTTCTGGTCACAAGTTACATGGATTAAGTTTTAAAAGGCAAGTAAGACATTTGCAATAGAAATGCAGTTTGTGTGAAAATCCTAACTGCCACCATGGGAAGAAGAGAAAAGAAAATCCCCATCATTCTCCTCTTCTCAAAATCTGGCTTTAAGACCACAACCCTATCCACGGGTGACCCATAACCTCCTTAACCAAATATATATAAATAGCCTTTCCTGTGCTCCTCCTTTTCAGTTGCTCTGGGCTATGGAGGACTACTGACCTCCCCGTCTGTCCCCAAATTCTCCTCCTTCGGCTTCTGCAGTTGTAAATGGGCCTCTCTGCCCTCCGATGCCTTGTCTGGCTTCCCTTCTTGTCTTGCACCGTCTCTGTCCATTTCACCCCTCTGGGCCTCTCTCCCCATCTTCTCTTTCCAGTTACGAGGAAATGGGCCCTCTGGATGGAAACCCGAGGTCACTCCTGGTCCAGTGCTGACAGCCCAATCCCCTCTCTTGTCTCCTTTCCTGTAGGACTTGTGTTGTTGCCATCTGCTTACCTCTTCCTTGTCATCCCACTTCCCACAACCTTTTTCCCCCATGCCCTACTCTTTGGGCCCACTTGGGGACAGGATGAAGTGCTCCCCTTTTCTCTCCTGTCCCAATGTCCCCGAAACTTCTGAGTTTCACTGGGTTTTCCTGCTAGCTTATCTGGCCAAACAATCAGGAAGTGGGCATGAGGAAGGAAATGTAAACAAACAAATTAGCAATAGTTGACCCTATTCTCTTATTTCCCTGGCTTCCTGAGATGCCAGGTGACTTCGTGCTCTCTGGGACTGAGCCCTGCCTCACTTGCCCTGAATGTGAGAAGAGCTCAACCTCAGCCCTCTGAGAGCTGTTTGCAGGACACTGGGTCTGGGGAGGATCGTCAGTCCCTTCCAAAATAGCATGTGTCTGATGTGGAGCATTTCCATATCCATGATTCTCCTTTGATCTTTGCAAGAGCTCTTAAAGTGGTTATTATTACCCATTTAAGATACAAAGAAACCCATCTCACGCATCTTCCAGGAACACCCATCCTACTCCATGGCAATTTACATAACCATTTTGAAATATCGAAATGACCACTGATAGATTATGGTGTGGAATGGACACTCAGTGACATTTTTAGATGAAATACAAGATGACAAAGAGAGCTCAGCTTGTGATGGGCTGCCCTGGGCTTGTACCTCAGACCATCCGAGAATGCATTTATTCGCCTCTGCCGGGAGAGTGATGTATCACAAAGACTTGAACAGCACAGGCACACATCCAAGCCGAACTTCTCACCAGCCCCGTGCTTTTCTGTGCTTCTCAAATGCTAGAACTAACATGCACACAAATCACCCGGGACTAGGTTGAAATGCAGGTTCTGACTCCGGGTAGGACTAGGGAGGGAGGGGCCCATGTCTGCATTTCTAACAAGCTCACAGGCAATGCCCATGGGCCACAATTGGAGTAGCAAGGCCTGAGCCTAGCCCACCTCTAATCAGACGGTCTCTGAATTAGAGCTGGGGAGAACATGAGCTCTGAGACCAGGCCTGGCTCCAGAGTAGCAACACTGCCATTAGTTTATTCCTCTGTTAAAATGGAAGTAATAACAGTACCTGTCTGGTTGGATTTTTCTTTCCCAAATAGGGTTACATGTGGATTGGAAGCAATAACAGTGGAAAGGACTTAGCATAGTACGCCGCACATAGAAGGTTCTCAGTGACTATTTAGGTATATTTGCATTTATAGAGCTCCATTATTTAAATAGTACTATCTTAGCTTCCCCCCTCCCCCCCAAGCTCATTCCTACCTGGCCGGCCTTAATTATTCTACTCCCTTTTCCAGAAATCTACTCCATCCCCTCCAGCCTCCACCCAAATCCTCTCCAGGGCCCAGCTGGGTTCCCAAAGCCTCCACGAAAACTTCCCTTGCCATTCTCGCCCCACTCTCTTCAGCTCATTCCGAAACCCTGCAATTAGCATTAAATTATATACAATACAATGTGCAATAGTACGTAATTAAGTGCTAAGTTGTTAGCATTTAACTATATATATTGCTCACCAATTATCTGGGGATTTGGAGACTTGGGGGTGAACCCTGAACTCCGCTACATACCTTCGCTGAGCCTCAGTGGCCTTGGTCTGTAAAGGGGGGTTAACAGTAAGGTCAGAGGGCAGCTCTACAGCTCCACTAGGAGAAAAGCAGAAGTGATTTAGGATCCTTCCCTGTCTTCTCACTGATTCCCCAGCCAGATTATAGGGGGAGGATAGGGGAAGAGTCTCAGCCTCACCACCATCCAGCTGTAGGATGGTGAGTGCTGAGGCTGGCTAAGCACCAACTTGGTTCACTCTCACTCACTCCAGCCCTAATCAGAAACCAGACACAGACCCTCCTCAGCACCACACACTTCACTTTGCAGAGGCTTTATGTGTCTGGCTAAACCTGGAGACATTTGTATGGGAGGCACCCCTAGAAGGTGTGAGACCCCTATAAAGTGCCAACTTCATCATCACCGTCTTCCAGCAAACATTGATCAAGTGTTGTCACATATGCACAAGGGTTTAACAAAAGCTTGGACCCACTGTGTGTACTCATCTATAGGCCATACTCAGCCACCAGTCTGGGCCCTGCCCCGCATGGTCCTGTCGTGCCTGGTACGGGTGTTGTGCATCCAGTCAAGCAAACACATACTAGCCAGGGGTCCTAATATTGAGGATGGCCTGCAGAGGCTTTTCGGAACACCCATTCGATTGAATGCATGAGGGTATTTTTCTGGGAAGAAAATCTGTAATTTTCAACAGATTACCCAAGGCATCTGAGACCAAAGAAAGAAGACAAATGATCATAATAAAATGTATAAAATGGGATGCCAAGGATTTGAATGAGGGACCTAGGAAGGCTCCCCAGGGTATGGCCAGGCCCTAGTCTCCCAGGGAAACAATCAGATACCCAAAACCTAACCATTTCTTCCCCACCTCCCTGCCACACCCTGGCTTGGGCCCCCTCATGCTCCTGCCCTCACCCCTGCAGTCTCTTCTCCCTGCTGCAGCTAGGGGGTCCTGATGAAAGCTAAGATAAATCATGTGACTCCTCTGCTCCGGACTCTTCACGGGTCCCAGTGGCCAGCAGGGCCCTGGGCCTCTACTCATGTCTCTGACCCCACTCCTCTCCCCTCCCCTCATCCCAGGACCCTTGACACTCAGCATGCTCCAGCCTTAGAGCCTTCAACTCACCAGTCCTGCATGATATGCTGCTCTTCTCCCAGATAAATACCCAGATTGCTCACCTCCTCCAAGACTTGCCTCACATCTTACTTTCTCAGAGAGGTCCTCCCTGGCCACCCTATTTAAAATTGCAAGCCAGGGGCACCTGGGTGGCTCATTTTGGTATCTGCCTTCCCAGGGTCATGATCCCAGGGTCCTGGGATCAAGCCCTACAACAGGCTCCCTGTTCAGTGGGGAGCCTGCTTCTCCCTTTCCCTCTGTCTGCTCCCCCTGCTTGTGCTCTCTCACTCTGTCAGATAAATAAATAAAATCTTCTAAAATAAAATAAAATTGCAAGCTGT